CCCATGGCAAGTGAGCCGTAAAACCACAGGCCAGTGCGTAACCCACTGGCTTGTGGTTTGACGACTCATTTTCCATGGGTTTTAACCCCACCCGTACCGTGTTTTTATTTAATACCTCCTTTGATTAACGCTCAAGAAATTTATGTATTATTTTAATCATGGGAAAGCCCTCAATCAGTAGGGGTCATGCGAAGCCTGGAGAATAGGAGAGAATCACTTTATACCCACTACGGCAACTTCATTTTCTTGGATCAAGAGTACTTCACTGGTAACGAGGCACCCACTATAAAATAACAATAATAATAATAATAATAATAATAATAATCCTAATATCTTTATTTACTACAAGTGCATGTACAAGGTATACAGATCATAACTGACATCAATGACATACTATATAGAAAGCCGCTTGTTATGTTGAACATTTCGGGCAAATTAGGTCAATTTTGTCCCAGGATGCGACCCACACTAGTCGACTAACATCCAGGTACCCATTTTAAACTGATGAGTGAACAGGGACATCAGGGACACGTGCCTAATGTTTTCCAGCCGTACCGGAGAAGATTCAAACCCCGGACCTCAATGTGTGAGCTGAGTGCGCTAGCGATCAAGCTACGGGAGATATTCATTTATAATCAACTGATCCGATCAGTTTGCGTTGCATAAAAAATAAACACTGATTCTCGTATAAATTCAAAACATATTTCAGAAACTTGTTATCCTTGTACTGTATAAATCTAAACACAAATCATACGTGCAGGGATATATATATATATATATATATATATATATATATATATATATATATATATATATATATATATATATATATATATAATATATATATATATATATGAAATAAGATCACAGTAGACAGGTGATTTCAGAATATGCAAAACAACCACTCTGAAAGAATAGAGAAATTCCAAGCGCTTTCGTGACTACTCACATTATCAAGGAACTATCATAGTTCCTTGATAATGTGAGTAGTCACGAAAGCGCTTGGAATTTCTCTATTCTTTCAGAGTGGTTGTTTTGCATATATATATATATATATATATATATATATATATATATATATATATATATATATATATATATATATACACAGCGAGAGGAGTGTTTAGACACACGTGAGATACGTGTTAGTGTATATTCATCGAGAGAGCGTATCTCTGTGTATATTTACCAAGACTTCGTCTCTCTTAGTGTAAATACACCGAGAGGTGTATATCTTATTTGTGTATATACACATTGAGATACAATGTGTCTATACACCTCGGTGTATATCTATCTCACTGTGTATATACATCTCTCGGTGTACTTGCACTGTGCATCGCTCAGTGTATATACCATCTGCGTATCCCTCACTGTATATACAACAAGAGATGTCCATTCCCCATTGTATATTCACGGAGGGCTGTCCATTCCCCAATGTATATCCACGGATGGCTATATACAGTGTATACACAATGAAAAGTGTCTCACTGTGCATACCCTAAGTGTTTACTCAATTCCCTGTTTACGATGTTAAAATCCCCCTAATGCTAGCATTTAGCGCTTAGGCGATGTTGTGTCTATATTTCCCACCGTGAAGTACAAAAATATTTAACCTAACAAACTAACATGCTTATATTGTGTATATATTAACTGGCAATCTGGAAAGGAAATCGAATTCAGGCTGAATATATCCCCGGACAAAATAACCAATTTCCCCCTCCCACACTCAGATTAAACTACGATACATTCCTTGTCACCAGATCTCTGGAGTGTGGTCGTCTCTCACCACAAGGTATTTGCAATCGTTCATTTATGACGTTTTTAGGTATATGCAGAGTCACATATGTACTACTGTACATGAATGGTATACATTACCGACAAGATGAAAATTAGACACATGCAACATATGGGTATCTTTACTGTAGACGTTACACCAGTGGCTTTATCAGGGGAATAATTGGAAGACAGGAGAAATTTATACAAAAGATGAGGTAAACAGTCCAACAGTCTTGGAGTTGGTGTGCTCTTCATCAACTCCAGGTCATTCCTTCAATCTATTTCCTCTCGGCAAGCACCAAGGTCATTCTTTAAATCCATTTCCTCTCAGCAAGCACCAAGGTCATTCCTTTCTTCAGTCCATTTCCTCTCAGCAAGCACCAAGGTCATTCCTTTAATCTATTTCCTCTCAGCAAGCACCAAGGTCATTCCTTCCTTCAGTCCATTTCCTCTCAGCAAGCACCAAGGTCATTCCTTTAATCTATTTCCTCTCAGCAAGCACCAAGGTCATTCCTTTAATCTATTTCCTCTCAGCAAGCACCAAGGTCATTCCTTCCTTCAGTCCATTTCCTCTCAGCAAGCACCAAGGTCATTCCTTTAATCTATTTCCTCTCAGCAAGCACCAAGGTCATTCCTTTAATCTATTTCCTCTCAGCAAGCACCAAGGTCATTCCTTCCTTCAGTCCATTTCCTCTCAGCAAGCACCAAGGTCATTCCTTTAATCTATTTCCTCTCAGCAAGCACCAAGGTCATTCCTTTAATCTATTTCCTCTCAGCAAGCACCAAGGTCATTCCTTCCTTCAGTCCATTTCCTCTCAACAAGCAACAAGGTCATTCCTTCCTTCAATCCATTTCCTCTCAGCAAGCACCAAGGTCATTCCTTCAATCCATTTCCTCTCAGCAAGCACCAAGGTCATTCCTTCCTTCAGTCCATTTCCTCTCAACAAGGTCATTCCTTCCTTCAATCCATTTCCTATCAGCAAGCACCAAGGTCATTCCTTTAATCTATTTCCTCTCAGCAAGCAACAAGGTCATTGTGAGCGAAGAAAAATATCATTCCTTTGATCTATTTGCCCTTGTGAGAAGGAAATGACAAAATGAAAGATCAAAGAAACTGCCATAACACGACTTCTTACACCTGTCAAACGCCTTCCCAATCAAATTAGGCAGGTGTGTATGTCACATGTCAGAGGCTATATTAAGTTGGTAAAATTACCCGGCAGGCCGGACTTGAGTCCTGGAGATGGGAAGTACAGTGCCTGCACTCTGAAGGAGGGGTGTTAATGTTGCAGTTTAAAAACTGTAGTGTAAAGCACCCTTCTGGCAAAACAGTGATGGAGTGAATGATGGTGAAAGTTTTTCTTTTTCGGGCCACCCTGCCTTGGTGGGAATCTGCCAGTGTGATAATAAAAAAAAAAAAAATGCGACTAACATAACATTTTAATGTGGCAACGTTTCGCTCTACAGGTTTATACGTCACATTCCCAGATGCCTCATTGTTTAATCATATGGGGAAGCGCTAAAACCGTACTCCTCATACAAGGAAGGAAAATAAGGATACCTTGATTTTCCAAAATCGAGAATTATTACTGAAACTAATTTTTTGATACAATAAAAAAAATTACTTAGCAAAACGCTATGAAAAATATTTATATTTATCGAAACTTTTTGCTTGAATAAATATTATTTGCAGAATTTTTGGTGAATAAATAATTAGTGTTGACAGAAACTTTCTGCATAAATTATCTTTTATACAGCGAAACCTTCTGTACAAGAATTACTTTTATGTGAAACCTCCTGTACAAGAATTACTTTTATGTGAAACCTCCTGTACAAGAATTACTTTTATGTGAAACCTCCTGTACAAGAATTACTTTTATGTGAAACCTCCTGCACAAGAATTACTTTTATGTGAAACCTCCTGCACAAGAATTACTTTTATGTGAAACCTTCTGTACAAGAATTACTTTTATGCGAAACCTTCTGTACAAGAATTACTTTTATGTGAAGCCTTCTGCACAAGAATTACTTTTATGTGAAGCCTTCTGTACAAGAATTACTTTTGTATGAAACCATCTGAACAAGAATTACTTTTATGTGAAACCTCCCGTACAAGAATTACTTTCATGTGAAACTTCTGTACAAGAATAACTTTTATGTGAAACCTTTTACACAAGAATTACTTTTATTAAGGGAAATCTGCACAAGAATTACATTTATTTAGGGAAACTTTCTGTAGAAGAATTACTTTATGTAGGTGAAACCTACTGTAAAAGAATTAAATGAAACCTTCTGGACAAGAATTACTTTTATGTAGGTGAAACCTACTGTAAAAGAATTAAATGAAACCTTCTGGACAAGAATTACTTTTATTTAGGTGAAACCTTCTCCCCAAGAATTACTTTTATTTAGACAAAACCTTCTGCACAAGAATTGCCTTTTTTATGGGAAACCTTCTGTACACGAATTACTTTTGTTTAGGGGTAACCTTCTGAAGAGTAATTACTTTTATCTAGGAAACCTTCTGTACAAGAATTACTTTTATTCACCTATTTAACTTGTAACTTGTTAAATATTAACACTGTTATCAAACAATGTGACACCTTCACAGGGAGAGAGAGAGAGAGAGAGAGAGAGAGAGAGAGAGAGAGAGAGAGAATAATAATAAAGAGAATAATAAGAAAGAAGATAATAATACTAATAATACTTTATTTCTACAAGTACATGATACAATGTTTACAGTCCTAGCTGACATCAGTGACATACTATAGAAAGCCCCTTGTTATGCTGTGCATTTCGGGCAAATTAGAGAGAGAGAGAGAGAGAGAGAGAGAGAGAGAGAGAGAGAGACCCAGGGATTATTACCTCTGCCCACACTGCCTGTGGTGGGAGGTGACAAGAGTGAGGTAGGTGAACTTCTCACCTTTCCACAGTGCCACAGGCACTACTAGTGTGTGTTTAATGTTTTCCACAGTGCCAAAGGTGCCGTGGTGGTGACAGCCGCAGCTAATAATCCCTCCATCCCTCTCTCTCTCTCCTTTCCTGCAACAGCGGTGCAGATCGCAAGAGCCGCAGTTAACCCTCCCATCATAATCCCGCAGCTTTCGAAAGTCAATGTTAAACCCCCTCCTCTCTTTATAGAATGCCGCAGAGCCGCAGCTAACCCGCCCTCCCATCACAGTGCCGCATGTAGCTAACTCCCCTTCTTCTCCCTCCCGCATCAGTGCCGCAGGTAGAGGTGACTGGGGCTGCCGACAAGTACGTGAGAAGCGGCTCGACCGCTCGCCTCGAGTGCAAAGTAAGTTCCACTGTACAGCTGCCAGACTACATCTTCTGGTACCACTCTGGGGAGCGACTACTGGAGTACGACAACCCCAGAGTGAAGATCACAGTGTCCCGGCGGGGCGGACAGGGCAGCGAGATGAGTGTCACCTCCACGCTCGTCATCTCCAAGGCCAGATCTACGGATGCTGGAAACTACACCTGCATGCCATCCAACCTCCACCGCGCCACCACAATCCTTCATGTCCTGAACGGTAAGTATTCCTTGAGCAGTAACGCAAGCAGGATTTTAGTCTAGGGGAGGATTAATTAAGCCAGGATTTTATTCTGGGGGAGGCATAAGCCAAGATTTCAGTCTAGGGGGAGGCATAACCCAGGATTTCAGTCTAGAGGGAGGAATAAGCTAGGATATCAATATGTGGAAAGCATAAGCCAGGATATCAGTCTGGGGGAGGCATAAGCCAATATTTCAGTCTAGGGAGACGTTTAATTAAGCCAGGATGTCAATTTGGGGGAGGCATAAGCCAGGATTTTAGTCTAAGGGGAGGCTTAATTAAGGCAGAATTTCAATCAGGGGGAGTAATAAGCCAAGATTTCAGTCTAGAGGAGGAACAAGCCATGATCTCATTCTAGGGGGAAGCATAAGCCAGGATTTCATTTTAGGGGGGAGGTTTAAGCCAGGATTTCAGTCTAGGAAAAAGCTAAAGCCAGTATTTATACCTTATTTGGGATAACCTGTAGCAATGACTTGTATAAAGTTATTTAACATTATAAAAAAAACTGTGCTTCAGTCTGGGATAACTCAATGTATCAGGAGAATTCGTTTTAAAAAACAAATGGTTTTTACAATACGTATTTAAAATTTCTTACACTGTTGTGTTTCTCTGGTCACCAGGCAATATAACTCAGTGAAAATTAATCATTAATTGAAAAAAAAAGTATTTGCAACTGATGGTGATTTTATCCTCGTTAACTCTCCCCAGGATGCACCACTGGTTCTGTGGTATATGGAAAACTTAAGATAACTTAGTTGAAACATTTAGCTAAGTTACTAAGTTACTGTGTTAATATTTTATCTTGTGTGTTACACACTGTTGATGGGGTTATATCCCAGCCTGTGTTATTATACACAACTGATGGGGTAATACTCCACCCTGTGTGTTATTATACACAACTGATGGGTTAATACTCCACCCTGTGTGTTATTATACACAACTGATGGGTTAATATCCCAGCCTCTGTGTTATTTTACACTATTAATGGGGTAATATCCCAGCCTCTGCGTTATTATACATAACTGATGGGGTAATACTCCACCCTGTGTGTTATTATACACAACTGATGGGTTAATATCCCAGCCTCTGTGTTATTTTACACTATTAATGGGGTAATATCCCAGCCTCTGCGTTATTATACATAATTGATGGGGTAACATCTCATCCTGTGTGTTATTATACGTAACTGATGCAGTAATATCCAATGCTGTGCAGCTCTACAACCTGGTACCACTACCTCTACCATTCCTACTACAATCACAACATAATACCATCACCACTCCCACAACTTTTACCGCCTCTTCTTCACTTGCACAACCAGCACAGACTTTTTTTTCACCACACCACCTTCACCATAACAATTACCTCTGCCACCACCATACCCACTTGTTTCTTCACCATCACCATAAATATCACATCTGCTGCAACCACAGCACTTTTTTCCCACCGCCAGGAACACCATCCCGAATTTCACCAGGGAACAGAGAGAGAGCTAATGCATTGAGCAAAGCTCATGATCTTGGAGATAGAACTAAAGATTAGCATGAAAATGGATGGACAAGAGGACAAAGGGACAAAAGCCGATGAAAGAACGAATTAAAAAAGAATTAATGAAGATTAACGAAGAGACGAAGAGCAGGAAGGAATATGCGGAGAGATAAAAAGAAAAAAGAGCCGAGAGAGGAAATAGCATATCTCAGAGGGGAAGACAGAGAAGACGAGGAAGACAGAGCAAGGTAGAGAGATGGAGAGAGGAAGGAAAGGAGAAAGGGAAACATTTCTCTGATTTATAAAAAAAAAGGTAACAGATGAACAGGAATGGTAGAGGGATTAAGTAGTTAATAAAGAGAAAAAATATTATAAATTATTACTGTTATTATCGTTCTTGCCTTATTCATACAGCACCTGGGAAGTGTTGATAAATATTATTATGTGAAGTCCTAAACTCGCGTGGATCATTTACCGCAAGGAGTGATAAAGGCTCGATCTCTAGTTCACTAACCGCTAGACAGACTCACTATTCTGTTTAGTTTAATATGTTTATTATGCACCCCATACCCATACTGTGGGCGGTAGTCAAAAGATTACAGAGGTACATAATTGGTCCAGGGACTGGGCCTCCAAAGTTTTGATAGCTGAACTAGGTACAAAGGTAATGAACTCACAAGTTACAAAGGTAATGAATCCTGTAAGAATGGTTACTGGATTCATTACCTTTGTAACTTGTGAGTTCATTACCTTTGTACCTAGTTCAGCTATCAAAACTTTGGGGGCCCAGTCCCTGGACCCATTACGTACCTCTGTAATCTGTAAATACCTTTGTAACTTGTCATGATTTAGTCAAGTTTTACACTAGACTGTAGAGTAAAGCCTGGGACTAACATCTTGGTTTACATTCGAGTCCTAAAAGACCTCCTGTGTTATCTCTTAGGCAACACCAGAGATCAGTTTCAATCCATGCCAGGAAGCCATTACCACGATACTTTGAATTAAGTAAAAGATAGCGGAATAACCAACATTATACGCTCAAAATAACGCAGAAAAATCAAAGTATCAAAGTAATTTGAAAGTTAAGAAGATAAATGCTAAATTGCATCAAAATAAGGAACACTTAACAACAACGACGAAAGATTACACAAAGCTAAATAAACTTTAACAGCAACGTCAGAGAATTACATTAAAATTGAGAAAGTCAAACAGGATGAGATGACCATAAACCTTTATCACCTACCCACCGGACATCACCATCCACTATCCATCTATCGGGGAAGTTGATCAAAGGTTCTAGCTTCCCCCTACTTCAAAAAGTCAACTGCAAAAATTAATGGTATGAAGGGATGAAGAGGGAGGGAGGAAAGGAATGCATGTGATGGGAACCAGAAACAGATCTTTGACAAACATTGACCAGTGGCTAGGCTGGGAGACGGAGGGACAGGGAGACGCCAGGAAAACCAATAGATCTGAGAGCGATTGTAGGCGGTGACTGGAGTTTTAAATACAAGGGAAAACAACGAGAAAATTCGAAATATAAAGAGGAGTTACGCTCTATGACGAAGGGTGAGGACAGTGCACTTAAAGATAATCTGAAGAACAGGACTAACAGCTGAAATACAAGGGCTAATTACCATCTAACTTTACGCTAAAGCATAACACAAAGCCTACCCTTGATCCTGACCTTGAGCATATAAGGCGCAGGCTGATTTTCCTTTTTGTGGGAAAAAGGTGCGCCTTATATGCCGGAAAATACGGCAATCAGGCACGACCCAGGGAATACCTTAAATCAAGAGCTGTTTCATTGGCATTAAGGTATACTCTTGAAGGGCAATCTAGTATTATAATATTGATCTCTAAATTTTTTTCTCTCTCTATTCTCATATATAGAAAAGTGTAAACAATTTTGGGTAATAATTTCTAACCCTCGCTGACGTGTCTAACACCTTGAATCAAGAGCAATTTCACCGCTGAAGGACAATCTAGCGTTATAATATTGATCTCTAATTTTTTTTTCTTCTCTATTCTCATACATAGAAAAGTGTAAAAATTTTGAGGCAATAATTTATCACCTTCGCTGACGTGCCTATGACTGTTAATGACTGCATTACCATGTATACAGCTGGCCTGAAAAACGATATTAACTGTTTTATACACTCGTCTCGTTTTTCATAAATATTTCACACGTGAAAAATTTTGTGAAACTCGACAGAAGCAAAATGTATAGCAAAACATTTTAACTATTTTTTTTTTTTTTCTAAAAAAAAAATTAATTCCATGTAGATGCTATTTTAAAGGTGCATAAAATGCTATTAGAATAATTTGATTATATCAGTTTATCCAGCATTAAAAAAAATGATTACCTTGACTCTGATAATTAATTATTTTTCAATTAATGAAGATAAAAATTAGATATAAATTTTTCCCTGGGAGTCTACTTGGCATAAATAAATATATGTAAATAAGTTTGAAAGAAATTTTCAGTCTTTTCATTTTTGGACCAATATCTGATAAGAATATTTGAATGGAACAGTTCAGAGCTTATATTTTCTCTCTCAGTCACCGTAACTGGACATGTACGTGGACATGTAACTGGACATGTAACTGGACATGTACGTGGACACGTAACTAGACATGTTCCAGGACATGTAAATGGACACGTAAGTGTACACGTAACTGGACACGTAACTGGACATATGACTAGACATCTAACTGGAAGTGGATAAGTACATATTTTTATAAGTTTCTAAGTGAACATTATTATTATAAAAGAAGCGCTAAACCCACTAGGGTCATACAGCGCTGCTTCACGGTGAACAATGATCTCATAATTCATCCAAGGAATGTCAGAAAATAATCTGACTTAACGTAAATGGCTCAAAACCAATAAGCCAATAAGTAAAAAAAATTACTTTTGGGGGGAAAACGACGTTTTCAGTAACGTTTAATATTATTATTATTATTATTAGTAGTAGTAGTAGTATTACTACTACTATTACTACCGTCGTAGTAGTATTACTAATACTACTGCTATTATTATTACCCTTAGGGCCCTGACCACTCAGGGGCCTTTGACTATTCTGGGGCCCTGACTACTATGGGGCGGGCCCTGACCATTAGCTCTTTCTTTATTGACCCCCTGGTAAGACGCGCTCCTATCTGTGGTGTGATGTAACCTGTTTAGAATTCGGGAATCTTTACTGAAGAAACGTTTCGCCCACCAGTGGCTTTATTAGTTCAATACAAAGAAGTACAATAAACAAAAGAGGATGGTATTGTATACCATATTGATATTCACTGAAAAGAGGAGGAGTTTGGGGTAATCAGTCCCTCAGCCTGGAATCGATGTGTTCAGAGAAGTGGCTTATGTACTCTACTCAGGTGAGCTGAAGCAGGAGGAGGCGGAGTCACAGTGGAACCATCCACTAGTGTAAGTAGATCATGTAGATCGGTTGGACAAGAGTTGAAGAATTCCTTGTATTGGACTGATGAAGCCACTGTGTGGGCAAAACGTTTCCTCAGTAAAGATTCCCAAATGCCGCACAAGTATCTCATTCCTCTCTGTGTTGTTTGCTGGCAGACCGCAAATATTTATTCCAATGTTCTACTAATTATTTAAAGTACGATATCAAAACAAGTGTATTCTTTTTAAGTTTCGCTCATATTTTGTTTAATGCTGATTTTTGAAAAATCAATTTATACAACAGTGGTCCAGTGCCAGTCGTAAAATGAATCGAACCTTTAAGTTTGTCCTCGTTCCTTTTATAACTATAATAATAAATGCTGGACAGAGCGGAAAAAAAAATACTTAACAGGCAAAAATAAAAATTAAAGAATCCATCGTTCTTGTTTGACAAGAAGTGCAACACGTCCTATAATTTTTTATTTCCAGTTTTACATATAAACAGCGGAAATTAAATTGGCGATCCGGATGCATAAAAAATTGTTTTGTCTGTAGCTAAAAGGGGCAATTTAGTGTCTTTAATTTGAATAAATGGTTTACAAAACTGACTCGTTGATAAATGAGACACATTTGCAACATTTGGGTATCTTTCTTCTGGAAACGTTTCGCCACACAGTGGCTTCTTCAGTCCAATGCAAAAAAAGGTGGAATAAATCAGTCCCTCAGCCTTGAGTCGATGTGTTCAGTCTATTAATCTTGACTTTTGAAAGGAAATGCATTTTGGGTAGGCGTGGTTTGCGTCAGCCTGTCATGTAGGCTTACTGGGTTCACCAGATTTTTTTATTCTGAGTGGCAGATGGCTGTGTCAATCAGACCACACGTTCGTCTCATAATCTATACCATATTGAATATTTAAAAAAAATCTGACGGTCGTATTATAAATGCCATTTACAAGGCTCAAGGGAAGCAAATTCTATTCACATAATTAGTTTTTTAAGCGGCACAAGAGTATAATAAGAATGAAATATAAATTAATCATGCAGTCTATGTTTAATAAATATAACTTTTATTTACTAAATTTTCCTATTTTTAAATTTTATGGCACAGTTTTCAAATATATTTGATTAATTTCATGTTTCCTGTGCTATCATTTATATTATATTTAATTTCAGACGAGCATCCAGCAGCAATGCACACAGGCATGGCGGCGACTGTAGAGCCACTACCAACATGGGGCATCTTACTGGTTGTGGGTCTGACACTAGTGTTCGTTCACGTGTATCCTCACACCAACTTCGAATGTGCTACGTTGTACATTCCCCAGGACACAGATGAGGGAGAGGCACCACCAGTCACCAGCACCACAGGTGGATACCTGGAAGAGCTAACTGGACACCTGCTCATGGCGCCGGTCTTACCTGTCCCTCACGCAGGCTTCATCCCGAGGGAAGAGATCATCAGCCGTTGCCGCCCACCTTCCACAAGGAGACGACGAGCTTCGAACCAGTGTCAGGGAATCACGGGGTGTGGTGACACGGACAGTGTCTTACTTCTCGCTACCGTCATAGTTTCTTCCCGACTGCTTCACAGTGCACCTGGTCCACACTAACCCAACTCTTACCAGACACAACACGTGGCAAAGCCATCGTGATCTTCGTAAATTTGGTTAATCATGCTTACAGCCGTCGTTTTAAAGCGTTCATTACAAAAGTAAAGCAAATCCATAAATGTGCATTAAATATATTAGAAACTGCAGACGCAGACTCAATGGTGAAATGTTTTCCACATTAAATTTGACAATAATGTGCATAGGGCTAAGTCTCTTGTTTATTTCATCACATCAACGTCTCTGTAAAACCTCCTTTATGTTACTGACCAAAACAAAACACTCAAAAGTGCAGTCTCAATCACTGAAAAAAAGACGGATCGTATGACTTTTTTCTGGAAATGTTAATTGCCATATATACTGTCCAATAAAGATTCTTTCCTTCAATGTCGTATAGGAAAAATCACTGTGTTAATATTGTTAACATGTTTAATTATACTAGCCCTTAGGGTTTTCTGTTATCGTTTATGTTAACAACACTAGTGGATTTCACATTGGCAGGCAAACTGTTCTGACTGCACTGTTCCGTTAGTTAATTAAGTCGTATATTCCAAATAAACGTCTAAATATGCCGGCCCGAGTGCGTGAGCATTCGACGACGGGTGACTGTGAATGTTTTACAACCTTTTGTATCCGTGTGCGTCGTCAGCTCGAAGGTTCTGTCTTAGACTGCTGAACCGAAGTCTCTGTAAAGTTGGTGTACATACATGTGCGAATGAATGGGACTATTAATACCTGAGTTTCATTTATCTACTCTACAAGAGGCGTATGTCTCTGCCCCAACACCTGCAGGGGGACCTACTGATGCAGGTGTTTTAAATGGTATTCCAGGACTATATATATATTGGTTTTCTGTATCTATGTCATACAGGTGTCCTAGAGCTGCAAATATTCTACACTTCTACACGTGGTCTACTTCTGCAGGTATTGAACAGTCACATGTGATCGCTTCTACACTATTTCCGCATCAGTTTACACATGCAGAAAACAAGCGGAGAGACTGCGGTCTTTCTCTGCATAAACCTCCGCTTGTTTCCGAGTGTTGCACTAATGCAAAATCGCTCATGTGGTCAGAACATACAGGAGGAGAATGTACTAGCTGAAAACCATGCCTGAGGCTCACTGGTGTGCCCCAACTATGAAGAAACATGGGTTGTGCCCGGGGCCCGTTCTTTTTGCTTCA